ATTGCCTTGGGTCCATTTCTGGGTTTTCAGTTCTGTTCCACTGGTCTATATTCCTGTTTTTGTGCCAGTACCAGGCTGTTTTGGTTACAGCGCTTTGTAGGATAACCTGATATCTGGTATTGTGATCCCTCCTACTTTGTCCTTCTTTTTCAAGATTGCTGTGGCTATTCGAGGTCTTTTTTGGTTCCATATGAACTTTTGAAGTATTTGTTCTAGTTCTATGAAATATGTCGTTGGTATTTTGATGGGGATTGCATTGAATCTATAGATTGCTTTGGGTAGTATGGACATTTTAATGATGTTAATTCTTCCAATCCATGAACAGGGTATGTGCTTCCACTTTTTTATATCTTCCTCTATTTCTTTTTTCAATGACCTGTAGTTTTCTGCAAATAGGTCCTTTACTTCTTTGGTTCAGTTTATTCCTAGGTATCTTAATTTTTTTGGTGCGATGGTAAATGGGGTTGTTTTTTCACTTTCTCTTTCTCTGAGTTCATCATTGATGTACACGAATGCCGTCGATTTCTTGACGTTAATTTTGTATCCTGCTACTTTGCCAAATTCATTTATTAAGTCTAGTAGATTTTTGATGGAGTCTTTAGGGTTTTCTACGTATAATATCATGTCATCTGTAAATAATGACAGTTTCACTTCCTCCTTTCCAATTTGGATCCCTTTTATTTTTTCTTCATGTCTGATTGCTGTGGCTAAGACTTCCAGTACAATGTTAAATAAGAGTGGCGAAAGTGGACATCCCTGTCTTGTTCCTGTTCTTAATGGAAATGTTTTTAGTTTCTGTCCATTGAGTATGATGTTGGCTGTAGGTCTTTCATATATGGCCATTATTATGTCGAGATATGATCCCTCTATTCCCACATTGCTGAGCGTTTTTATCAGAAATGGATGCTGGATTTTGTCAAATGCTTTTTCAGCATGTATTGATATGATCATGTGGTTTTTATTCTTCATCTTATTTATGTGGTGTATCACATTTATTGATTTGCGAATATTGTACCAGCCTTGCATCCCTGGAATGAATCCCACTTGGTCATGGTGAATAATATTTTTGATGTATTTCTGGATCCGATTTGCTAATATTTTGTTCAGGATTTTGGCGTCTATGTTCATCAGGGATATTGGCCTGTAGTTTTCTTTCTTCGTAGTGTCTTTTTCTGGTTTTGCAATTAGAATTATGCTAGCCTCATAGAACGTGTTTGGAAGTCTTCCTTCTTCTTGAATTTTTTTAAATAGTTTGAGGAGAATGGGTGTTAGTTCTTTTTTGAATGTTCGGTAAAACTCCCCCGTGAAGCCATCTGCGTGTGAAGCCATCTGCGCCTGGGCTTTTGTTTGCTGGGAGAGTCTTGATTACCTCTTCAATTTCCTTAGTTGTTATTGGTCTGTTCAAGTTTTCTCTCTCTTCCCGGTCCAGTTTTGGGAGACTGTGTTTCTAGAAATTTGTCCATTTCGCTTAGATTGTCAAATTTGTTGCCATATAGTTGTTCATAGTAGTTATTAACAATCTTTTGTATTTCCGTGGTGTTGGTTGTTACTTCTCCTCTTTCATTTCTGATTTTGTGTATTTGGGTTCTATCTCTTTGTTTCTTGGTGAGTCTAGCTAAGGGTCCATCAGTCTTGTTTATCTTTTCGAAAAACCAGCTCTTTGTTTCATTGATCCTTTGAATTGTTTTTTGGTCTCTATGTCATTTATGTCTGCTCTGATCTTTACTATTTCCTTCCTTCTACTTGCTCTGGGGTTTTCTTTTTGTTTCCTTTCTAACTTTTTAAGTTGTGAGGTTAGACAGTCAATTAGAAATTTTTCTTGTTTTTTTGAGGTAGGCCTGTAGTGCTATGAACTTCCCTCTCAGAACTGCTTTCGCTGCATCCCCTAGATTTTGTGTTGTTGTGTGTTCATTTTCATTGGTTTCCAGGAAGTTTTTAATTTCTTCCTTGATCTCCTCAGTGACCCATTCATTGTTTAATAACATGCTATTTAGCCTCCATGTGTTGAAATTTCTTTGCATGTTCATGTTCTTGTTGCAATTGATTTCTAGTTTCATGCCATTGTGATCTGAGAAGATGCTTGATATGATTTCAATCTTCTTGAACTTGTAGAGATTTAGTTTGTGTCCTATCATGTGGTCTATCTTTGAGAATGTCCCATGTGCACTTGAGAAGAATGTGTATTTTGTAGTTTTTGGGGTGTAATTCTCTGTAGATATCTATTAAATCCATTTGGTCTAGTGCTTCATTTAGAGTCTTTGTTTCCCTGCTAATTTTTTGCCTAGAGGATCTATCCAGTCCTGTCAATGGGGTGTTGAAGTCCCCTGCTATGATTGTATTGTTGTCGATTTCTCCTTGTACGTCCTCCAGAAGATTTTTAATATATTTTGGTGCTTCTGTATTGGGTGCATATATGTTTATCAAGGTTATATCTCCCTGTTGGATAGATCCTTTCAATATTATGTAGTGGCCGTCTTTGTCTCTAGTTATGGTCTTCATTTTTAAATCTATTTTATCAGATATGAGAATTGCTACCCTAGCTTTTTTTTGCTTTCCATTTGGTTGGAAAATTTTTTTCCATCCCTTCACTTTCAACCTTTGTGAGTCTTTTGTTGTGAGGTGGGTCTCTTGTAAACAACATATTGATGAGCCATGCTTTCTTATCCAATTAGCTACTCTGTGTCTTTTTATGGGAGCATTCAATCCACTTACATTTAAGGTGATTATTGATATGTACTTATTTATTGCCATTTTTGTTTAGTGTGGTTCTATTGTTCTTCCCATTTCTACTGCTAATTACAGCAGTCCTTTTAACATTTCTTGCAGTGCTGGTTTTGTGCTAATGTATTCCCTTAGCCTTTTTGTGTCTGGGAAGCTCTTTATTTGACCTTCTATTTTGAATGATAGCCTTGCTGGGTAGAGTAATCTTGGATTCAGATTCTTGTTTTTCATGACTTTGATTACTTCATGCCATTCCCTTCGGGCCTGTAGTGTTTCTTGTGAGAAGTCAGCTGAGAGCCTCATGGGGTTTCCTTTGTAGGTAACCTGTTGCTTATCTCTTGCTGCTTTTAGGATTCTCCCTTTGTCTGTATTTTGTGGCATTTTAATTACTATGTGTCTTGGTGTGGGTCTGTTTGGGTTCTTCTTACTTGGGACTCTGTGTGCTTCTTGAACTTGAATGCCTTCTTCCTGCACCAAATTAGGGAAGTTTTCTGTCACTATTTTTTTGAATATATTCTCTATCCCTTGCTCATTTTCTTCTTCTTCGGGGACTCCTATGATGCGAATATTATTACATTTCCAGTTGTCCCACAGTTCTCTTAAGCTGTTTTCCTGTTTTTTAATAGTTTTTTCCTTTTGTTTTTCTGATTGATTGATTTTTTCTACCCTGTCTTCTAATTCACTGATCCGGTCCTCAGCTTCCTCTACTCTGCTTTTTAAACCTTCCAATGTGTTTTTCATTTCTTATATGTCATTTTTTATCTCTTCTTGATGGTTTTTAATTTCCAGTTGGCTTATTTTCAGTGTCTCTATGTCCTTACTCATGCTGTTCAGCTTCCTCAAGATCATGGCTCTGAATTCTAGCTCTGTTAACATGCCTAGTTGTTCCACATTGATCTCATCTTCGGTGGAGGTCTCTTGCTCTTTCATTTGGCTTCTGTTTCTGTGTTTCACCATGTTGGCTATCACTGTGGGCTTTGGAGCCTGTCAAGTTTTCCCTTTGGTGTTGGTGTTCTGCTGTTTGTGGCTCCCTCTCCTGTGTTTAGATGAGCGAGGGAGGACCCACGTTAAACACCACTGTCAAATCTTACTTTCCTGGTTAAAGTTGCTAGCCCAGGAAAGGTACTGTTGTCCTCCAGCTTTTTGCCTGGAGGCTAGCAGTCTAGGTTACTTGATGAGTTTTGGGTTGTCAGTTGATTGAAAATCTCCCTCAGGTGCTCAGAAAACAGGGGATTTCACGAGGGTGGGGCAGATGCTGATTGTAAATGAGCCTCAATTAGCACTTCAATGGCCCACAGGGTGGGGTTGGATCTCCGAGGGAGGGGCTGCTGCTTCTCCCCAGAACCCTGGGAAGGAGCAATGTGGCCACCGTCCTGCGTGGCTGCACTCAGCAAAAGCTCTGAGCGCCCTCCAGATCCCAAGTGTTCCCACACAGCTCCAGTCCAGTCTGCCCTCCCTCTGCTGGAGCCCAAGTTGAGTGGCTGTGGCTGTTTTAGCCTCTTCCCAGCTCTGCGCTGTGGGGCCGCCTGGGACTTTAACCCGAGGGCACTGCTCCCAGCTAAGGCCGCTGCCGAGCTGCTGACCGTGGGCTCCCAGACCCCGTCTCGTGCCTTCGCAAGCTACCAGGATCAAGTCGGTGTCCCTTGTTATATGGTCCTCGCAAGCTGCTTTTCTGTTGCTTTTTCCCGTCAATTTGTCTGTGTTATAGTGTTGTAACCCAGGAGATCGACCAAACTCAGACGCCAAGATGGGGTTTAACAAAAGGAGTTTATTGAGCTAAGTCCGCAGACACCTGCAGTATGTCCCACACAGGAGTAACTGCGGCCCGGGAGAGCTAAAATGGCTCCTTTTTATAGGATTTTGTAAGGGGGTTGCTACATGTAAGCAAGCATGTTACAGAAGCGGAATTTAGCAGTTAGTTAATTCCCTCTTACTCAGTTTCCCAGACATCTCAAAGGTCAAGATGTTTTCAATAGATTATCCCTGGTGCCACCCAGGATTACTCAAGGGTTAGTTATTACTCCAGGGTTAGCGATTACTTAGGGACTAGTTAGTGAAGAATGTTCTTCAGTAAATGAGTAAACTGACAACCCCTTTGGATGTCGTGAAGGCCTCTGGGAGTTTAGGTCAATGGCACTGAGTTATAACAATAGTTGTAATTCCAGTTTGGTTCTGGGAGACGGTCTGTGTAGCTTCCGTTCACTCTGCTGCCATTTTTTTCACCTCTTTTTTCTTTTTGCTGTTCTGATTTGGTGTTTTCTGCTTCCTTATCTTCCAATTTACTGATTTGATCCTCTTCTTCATCTGCTCTACTATTGATTCCCTGTAATGTATTCTTCATTTCAGTTTGTGTAGTATTCGTTTCTGTTAAAATGTTTTCTATCTCCATTTTTATGTTTCCCATCCCTTTGTTGAAGTTCTCATTAAATTTCTCTACTCTTTCCCTAAGTTCATTAATGATTCTTATAACCACTGTTTTGAACTCTGCATCTGGTAGATTGCTGATCTCCATTTTGTTTAGTTCTTTTCTAGAGTTTTGTTCTGTTCTTTCATTTGGGATATGTTCCTTTGTCTCCACATTTTGGCTGCCTCCCTGTGTTTGTTTCTATGTAGAGCTACTAGGTCTCCAGATCTTGGTAGAGTGGCCTCAGGTAGTAGGTATTCTGTAGGGCCCAGTGGTGTAGCCTCACCACTCACTGAGCTGGGTGCTCTAAGTGGGCCCCCTATGTGGGCTGTGTGCATCTTCCTGTTGTAGTTGAGCTTTGACTGCTGTTGGCATGTCAATGGAGGGATCTATCCCCAGGTCAATAGGCTGTGAGGACTGGCTGAGACCACAATGGAGGATTTGCTGTGCAGGAGCTGACCCCATGGAGCAGAACTCTCTTTAGTGGGGCTCAGATAGCCAGTAAGTCCACTCTTTGTGTGTTGAATGTGTCACTTGTGGAGATTGAGTCTAAAGCTGTCCACTGGGTGCACTGGCTCTGGGTCTCCTGGGAGGTGCTGGCCAAGGTCAGATGCTGCTTGTGCCCTGCCCAGGGCCCCCCAGCATGAGCTACAGGGTGATCTGCAGATGCCTGCTACTTGTGCTGGGCTTGAAGGTGCCCAGGAGAGGCCAAGCTGCAAACCAAGGTTGGTGCCACTAGTGCCAAGCCTGGGACAAGTTAGCAAGAGGTATGGGGCACAGAGAGGCCAGATGCTGCTTGTTTAAGAGATTGTAGTATAGTTGGCAGCATAGGCCAGACAGGCTATTTGTATAGAAAAGTTACTGGGCTTGGGTAGGTGGGCAATTTGGGTGGGGTGGAGTCTCAGGGAATCATCAGGACAAGGATAATGGTGTAAGCCAAGTGGATGGAGACTCATGCATGGTGCCCGCCTGCTGATTCTGTGGGCGTAGGGCTCAGAGAAGGAACAATGACCTCTGCCAGTACTTCTGTCTGGGATAAAGCTGCCCCTCTAGCTCTCACCCTGATGCCAAACAATTCAGTTCCTCCCTGTATGTCCCTGGTGCCTTTTGAGCTGCTGCCCTAGCGCTGGAGCTCAGAGCCAGTGAATCTGAGTAAGTCTATGTGAGGGCCCTCTAGGAGAAATGCCTGTGACTGCAGCAGCCCTCTGACTTAGCCACAATCTCCCCTGGTTTTTACAGCCAAAAGTTATGGTGAATTCTTTTCTGGCACTGGAGCCTAGGATAGAGAACCTGGTGTGAAGCTGGGACCCTCTCACTCCTCAGGTGGGACCTCCACAGCCCAGATATCCCTCCCAATTTTTAAGCACTATACATGGGTGTGGGACCAGCCTGTTCTGCATCTCTGCCCCTCCTACCAGTCTCTATGTGGCTTCTTTTTTCTTTTTCTGGTTTTTAATATATAAACTAATTATTTATAAAAGTCTCACTGTTTAACATATCTAATAATACAAATCCTTTGCAATGTTTAAATCACTTAAATAATAACATGGATACATTATTTTCAGTCTGAGTATGAATAAGTGCACTAGTGTGAATAAATGGATTTTTGCAATATACAGAATCAAGACAGTGGACAGTGTTCTCTTCAGCCAGGAACAAATGCAGGTCTTTGTGTGTTAAAATACAAGAATGTTTTATGTCCTATCTATGTCTACATTTAGTCATTAAATATTTAAGCTATGCATATAAACTGTACTAATATTCTATTGGCATCATTTTTTCATTTCTCTTAGCTCAATGTAATTTTTCAAATAGACTTTATTTTTTAGATCAGTTTAGTTACAGAAAAATTAAGGAGGTAGTACGGAGTTCCCATGTACCCTCTCCCAGTCTCTCCTGTTATTAACAACTTACATTAGTGTGGTACATTTGCTACAATTAATAAATAAATATTGATATATTTTTATTAACTAAAATCTATAGTTTATTAAAATTTCCTTAGTTTTTTAAAATAATATTTATTTATTTTTGTTACGGATGTTTCTCCTTTTTCCCCCACTGATACCCTCCTGCCAATCCCAACTCCTGCCACCAGCATTTTTGTCTATGTCCTTGTTTATGCATACATGCATATAAGTTCTTTGGTTTATCTCATCCCTCCCCCCACATCCACCTCTTTCGAGTTTTGTCAGTCTGCACCCCACTTCCATGTCTCTGAGTCTATTTTGTTCCTCAGCTTTTGTTCATTGTATTCCACAAATAAGTGAGATCATGTGATATTTGTCTTTCTCTGATCGGCTTATTTCTTAAGGTATATTCCTAGAAGTGGGATCACTGGATCAAACAGCAGTTCAATTTTTAATTTTATGAGGAAACACCATAGTGTTTTCCTTAGTGGCTGCATCAGTCTGTATTCACACCAGTAGTGTACTAGAGTCCCCTTTCTACACACCCTCGCCAGCACTTGGGTGATGATTTGTTGATGACAGCCATTTTGGCAGGTGTGAGGTGACACTTCATAGTTGTTTTCCTTAGTTTTTATTTAATATCATTTTCCTGTTCCTGGATCCCATATTACCTTTACTTGTCATATCCTCTTAATCTCCTCCTTGGGAGTGACAGTTTCTCTGATTTTTCCTTGTTTTTGATGACCTTGGTAGTTTGGGAGAATACTATTCAAGTACTCTGTAGGATGCCTCTGGAATGGATCTAATGTTTTTCTCAAGTTTAGACTTAAGTTAAGGTTTTGAGGAGGTAATTTTCCTGGATACTTACAGTTTAAAAACATATCTAGATTTCATCCAACTGTTGCCAGTAGCATAACTCATATAACATTTTTGGTACTGTGCCTCTTCTGCATGATTAGAGACAGAAAAGACAGTCTTAAGAAAAGAATATGATTTAAAAGCCATGCTTTAAAAAATAACTAAGAGGCAGATAATATTATAAAGACAGCTAACAGTAGTAACTTTATTTTACTTTCCTAAGTAAGCATGTTCTCTATGAATTAAAATGACCAAAACCGCCCTCTTCGGCTTGGCTCAGCAGTTAGAGCATCGGCCTGTGGGCCAAAGAGTCCGAGGTTCCATTCTGGTCAAGGGCATGTACCATGGTTGGGTTCATCCCCTGCCCTGGTTGGGGTCGTGTGGGAATCAGCCAGTGTATGTGTTTCTCTCACATCGATGTTTCTCTCTCTCTCTCTCTCTCACTCTTCCTCCCTCCCTCACTCTATCTGAAGATAAATGGAAAAATATCCTCAGGTGAGAATTAAAATTAATTAATTAATTAATAGAATTACTAAGAAAGTCAGACAAAAATGCATAAATAACATAGTTCAATTCTATATATCTTCAGAGGTACAATTTTGGATTTATGTAAATAAATGTTAATCAAGTATTTCAGTGTTTTCAAAGCACAGTCTCATATGTTTGACTACCAAATAAGCAAAAAAATAAATACTGTACAGGACTCTCTTGTCTACAAGTCAAAAATAGTCTGTCTTAAATCCTTAGATTTTGTATAGTAGACAATCATTCTCAAAGAATTCTCTCTTGAGAAGTGGTTCTCAAACTTTAGTATATATTAGAATTCCCTGAAGGGCTGTTTAAACACAGATAACTGGGCACAATCCCCAGCAGTTTCTGATTCAGTAGGTCTGGGGTGGGGTCTGAGAATGTCCATTTCTAACAAGTTCCCAAGTGATGCTGATGCTGCTGGTCTGAGGCCCACACTATGAAAACCACTGCATCAGTGTCAACAAGGAAGTTACATTCATTCATTAAGTGTCTATGATGATTAAGGTGTTTTACATATATTACCTTATTTAACTAGTTATAAAATCTTATCAAAAGTATAATGCCCCTTGCCTGGCTGGTGTGACTCAGTGGTTGAGCATTGAACCATGCACTAAGAGGTCGCCGGTTTGATTCCCAGTCAGGGCACATGTGGGGGGCATGCAGGAGGCAGCCAATTGATGTACCCTCTTATCGATGCTTCTCTCTCTCCCTCTCCTTTCCTTTCTCTCTAAAATCAATAAAGGGAGAAAAAAATTTTTAAACATATCTTTTAAAAATATAATGCCCCAAGAGAGAGAGAAAAAATGGCGGCGGAGTGAATGGAAGCTACACAAACCATCTCCCAGGACCAAACTGGAATTACAACGAAAACAAAGACAAATCGTCATGAAGGGGCAACCAAAAGACAGCTTGGAGGACCACATAACCAGGGACACTGACTCAATCCTGGTAGGCTTACAAGGAGGTGAAAGGGGGCAGGGAGCCCATGGTCCACAGTGGCCTGGGATGGGATCTGCTGCGGCCTCGGCTCAGACCTGAGGCCTCGGCTGGGACCTCCTGTGGCCTAGGCTGGGACCAGCGGCCTCAGCTGGAAGCTGCTCCTTCGGCTGGGTCCTGCGACCTTGGCTGGGTGCTACACCCTCGGCGGGGAGCTGCCGCAGCCTCGGCCACCCTTAACTGGGAGCAGCGCCATCGGATTAAAAGTCCCAGGCAGCTCCAGAGTGCAGAACCCAGACAGACGCTAAATTGGCAGCAGCCACTCACCTTGGGCTCTGGCAGAGGGAGGACAGACTGGACTGGAACTGCGTGGAGACACTCGGGATTTGGAGGGTGCTCAGAGCTTTTGCCGAGTGCAGCCACGCAGGACTGTGGTCATATTGCTCCTTCCCAGGGCCCTGGGGAGTTATCAGACCCTCTCTCGAAGAGTCAGCCACAGGAGGTGGCCATTGAAATGCTAATTGAGGCCCATTAACAACCAGCAACTGCCCCACCCTCTGGAAATCCTCTTACACTGAGCACCTGCAGAAGTTTTTAGTCAACTCAGAAACAAAGGTTCTTCAGGTGACCCCGCTACTAATAGCCTCCAGGCAAAAAAAAGATAGAGAATAATTACCATTCCCTGGGCTAGCAACTCTAACCAGGAGAGTTAAGACTTGACAGAGGTTTTAAAGTGGGTCCTCCCTGCCTCATCCAAACTCAGGAGGGGGAGCCACAAACAGCAGAACACCAACACCCACAGGGAAAATTTGGCAAGCTCCAAAGCCCACGGTGACAGCCAAAATGGTGAAAGAAGGAAACAAAAACCAAATGACAGAACAAGAAACCTCTACCAAAGATGAGATAAATGAGGTCCAGTTAAGCAAGTTAACAGAGCTAGAATTCAGAGCCATGATCTTGAGAAAGCTCAACAGCATGTGTAAGGATATGAGCACCATAAGTAAAGACATAGAAATGTTGAAAATCAACCAGCTGGAAATTTAAAACCACCAAGAAGAAATGAAGAATGACATATCAGAAATAAAAAAACACATTGGAAAATCTAAATAGCAGAGTAGAGGAAGCTGAGGACTGGACCAGTGAATTAGAAGATAGAGTTGAAAAAATAAACCAAAAGGAAAAAATAATTAAAAAAAACAGAAAAACAGCTTAAGACAACTGTGGGACAACTGGAAACGTAATAACATTCGTACCATAGGAGTTCCCGAAGAAGAAAATGAGCAAGGGTTAGAGAATATATTTGAAGAAATAGTGACAGAAAACTTCCCTAATTTGGTGAAGAAAGAAGGCATTCAAGTTCAAGAAGTACACAGAGCCCCAAGTAAGAAGAACCCAAACAAGCCCACACCAAGACACATAGTAATCAAAGTGCCAAAAATTAAAGACAAAGAGAGAATCCTAAAAGCAGCAAGAGAGAAGCAACAGGTTACCTACAAAGGAAACCCCATAAGGCTCTCAGCTGACTTCGCAACAGAAACATTACAGGCCAGAAGGGAATGGCATGAGGTAATCAAGGTCATGAAAAACAAGGATCTGAATCCAAGACTACTCTACGCAGCAAGGCTATCATTCAAAATAGAAGGTCAAATACAGAGCTTCTCAGACACAAAAAAGGCTAAGGGAATACATTAGCACAAAACCAGCACTGCAAGAAATGTTAAAAGGACTGCTGTAATTAGCAGTAGAAATGGGAAGAACAATAGAACCACACTAAACAAAAATGGCAATAAATAAGTACATATCAATGATCACCTGAAATGTAAATGGAATGAATGCTCCCATAAAGAGACACAGAGTAGCTGATTGGATAAGAAAGCATGACTCATCTATATGTTGTTTACAAGAGACTCGCCTCACAACAAAAGACTCACAAAGGTTGAAAGCGAAGGGATGGAAAAAAATCTTCCAAGCAAATGGAAAGAAAAAAAAAGCTGGGGTAGCAATACTCATATCTGATAAAATAGATTTCAAAATGAAGGCCATAACTAGAGACAAAGAAGGCCACTACATAATATTGAAAGCATCTATGCAACAGGAAAATATAACCTTAATAAACATATATGCACCCAATATAGAAACATCCACATATATTAAAAATCTTCTGGAGGACTACAAAGGAGAAAGCAACAGCAATACAATCATAGCAGGGGACTTCAACACCCCGCTGACATCACTGGATAGATCCTCTAGACAAAAAATTAGCAAGGAAACAGAGACTCTAAATGAAGCACTACACTAAATGGATTTAATATATATCTACAGAGAAATACACCCCCAAACCGCATAATTCACATTCCTCTCAAGTGCACATGGGACATTCTCAAAGATAGACCACATGTTAGGGCACAAACTAAGTCTCTACAAGTTCAAGATGACTGAAATCATATCAAGCATCTTCTCAATTCACAATGGCATGAAACTAGAAATCAATTGCAAGAAGAACATACAAAGACATTTGAACACATGGAAGCTAAATAGCATGTTATTAAACAATGAATGGAGTACCGAGAAGATGAAGAAAGAAATTAAAAACTTCCTGGAAACCAGTGATAATGAAGACATAACATCACAAAACCTATGGAATTCAGGGAAAGCAGTTCTGAGAGGGAAGTTCATAGCACTACAGGCCTACCTCAAAAAACAAGACAAATCTGTAATAGACTACCTAATCTCATAACTTAAAGAACCAGAGAGCAGACAAAAAGAAAACCCCAGAGAAAGTAGAAGAAAGGAAATAAAGGTCAGAGCAGAAATAAATGACATAGAGTCCAGAAAAAAAAACAAAAAAAAACAACAATTTAAAGGATCAATGAAACAAAGAGCTGGTTTTTCAAAAAGATAAAGAAGATTGATGGGCCTTTAGCTAGACTCACCAAGAAACAAAGAGAGAGAACCCAAATACACAAAATCAGAAATGAAAGAGGAGAAGTAACAACTGGCACCACAGAAATACAAAAGATTGTTAACAACTACTATGAACAAATTATATGGCAACAAATTCGACAACCTAGCGAAGTGGAAAATTTTCTAGAAACACATAGTCTCCCAAAACTGGACCAGGAAGAGATATAAAACTTCAACAGACCAATATCAACAGAAGAAATTGAAGAGGTAATCAAGACTCTCCCAGCAAACAAAAGCCCAGGCCCGGATGGCTTCACGGGGGAGTTTTACCAAACATTCAAAGAAGAACTAACACCCATTCTCCTCAAACTATTTCAAAAAATTCAAGAAGAAGGAAGACTTCCAAACTCGTTTTATAAAGCCAGCATAATTCTAATTCCAAAACCAGAAAAAGACACTACAAAGAAAGAAAACTACAGGCCAATATCCCTGATGAACATAGATGCCAAAATCCTGAACAAAATACTAGCAAATCGGCTCCAGCAATACACCAAAATATTATCCACCATGACCAAGTGGGATTCATCCCAGGGATGCAAGGCTGGTACAATATTCGCAAATCAATAAACGTGATACACCACATAAATAAGATGAAGAATAAAAACCACATGATCATATCAATAGATGCCGAAAAAGCCTTCGACAAAATCCAGCATCCATTTCTGATAAAAACATTCAGCCATCTGGGAATAGGGGGATCATATCTAGACATAATAAAGGCCATATATGAAAGACCTAAAGCCAACATCATACTCAATGGGCAAAAACTAAAAGCATTTCCCTTAAGAACAGGAACAAGACAGGAATGCCCACTTTTGCTGTTCTTATTTAACATAGTACTGGAAGTCTTAGCCACAGCAATCAGACAGGAAGAAAAAATAAAAGGGATCCAAATGGGAAAGGAGGAAATGAAATTGTCATTATTTGGAGATGACATGATACTATACGTAGAAAATCCCAAAGACTCCATCAAAAATCTACTAGACTTAATAAATGAATTTGGAAAAGTAGCAGGATACAAAATTAACGTCAAGAAATCGATGGCATTCTTATACACCAATGATCAACTCACAGAAAGAGAAACTAAGAAAACAATCCCAGTTACTATTGCGGCAAAAAAAAATTAAGATACCTAGGAATAAACTGAACCAAAGAAATAAAGGACCTATTCGCAGAAAACTACAGGTCATTGAAAAAAGAAATAGAGGAAAATATATAAAAGTGGAAGCACATACCCTGTTCATGGATTGGAAGATTTAACATCATTAAAATGTACATACTACCCAAAGCAATCTATAGATTCAATGCAATCCCCATCAAAATACCAATGGCATACTTCATAGAATTAGAACAAGTACTTCAAAAGTTCATATGGAACCTAAAAAGACCTCGAATAGCCACAGCAATCTTGAAAAAGAAAGACAAAGTAGGAGGGATCACATTACCAGATTTCAGGTTATTCTACAAAGCCACTGTAATAAAAACAGCCTGGTACTGGCACAAGAACAGGCATATAGACCAGAGAACCCAGAAATGGACCCAAGGCAATATGCTCAATTAATATTTGACAAAGGTGGCAAGAGCCACCTTGCCATATACTTGAGTGTGGAGTAAAGACAGCCTCTAATAAATGGTGTTGGGAAAATTGGACAGCTACATGTAGAAAAATGAAACTAGACCATCAACTTACACCATACACAAGAATAAACTCAAAATGGATAAAAGACTTAAATGTCACTCATGAATCCATAAAAATCCTAGAAGATGTAGGCAACAAAATTTCAGACAACATACGCAGCAGAATTTTTACTGATACATCACCTAAGGCAAACAAAGGAGAAAATGAACACATGGGACTACATCAAACTAAAAAGCTTCTTCACAGCGAAAGCTACAATCAATAAAATAGAAAGGCTACCCACTGTATGGACGATCATAATTGCCAATGACATATCAGATAAAGGGTTAATTTCCAATATATAGAGAGTACTCATACAACTCAACAAAAGGAAGACAAAAACCCAACCAAAAAATGGGCAGAGGAACTAAATAAACACCTCTCCAAACAGGACATATAAATGGCCAAGAGACATATGAAGAAATGCTCAACATCACTAATTATCAGAGAGATGCAAATTAAAACAACAATGAGGTATCACCTCACACCTGTCAGAATGGTCGCCATCAACAAACCTTCAAACAACAAGTGTTGGCGAGGGTGTGGAGAAAAGGGGACTCTAGTACACTGCTGGTGGGAATGCAGACTGGTGCAACCACTACAGAAAACAATATGGTGTTACCTCAAATAATTAAAAACGGAACTTCCATTTGACCCAGTGATCCCACTTCTAGGAATATACCCTATGAAGCTTGAAACACCAATCAGAAAGAATACATGTACCCCCATGTTCGTAGCAGCACTATTTACAATAGCTAAGATCTGGAAACAGCCCAATTGTCCATCTGTAGACAAATGGATAAAAAAGCAGTTGTACATATACACAATGGAATACTATGCAGCTGTAAGAACGAAAGATCTCTTTTCCTTTGAGACTACATGGAGGGACCTGGAAAGTATCATCCTAAGTGAAACAGGCCAAACAGAGAAAGACAAGTTTTATATGATCTCACTTATTTGTGGAATATAATGAACATAGCAGTCTGAGGAATGGGGAAGTCCCAGAGACGTGGAAGTGGGGTATAGACTGACAATCCCCAGAAGAGGGGTTGTGGGGGAGAGAGAAACCACAGAACTTATATGTATGTGTGCATGAACAATGGACATGGACAACAAAGCTGGGGACAGGGCAGAGAGAGAGGCGAAGGGGGGAATCAGTGGGGGGGAGAAACATCTGTAACAAAAATTAATTAATAAAAAAAAATATATATATATAATGCCCCTTTTGTAAATGGGGTACCTAGGCTCAGAGAGACTAAAAAATCTGCCTGAGAAAATAACAGAATTAGGAGGCCAAACTGCAGTTCAGCTCTCCGATTCCAATGCCCGTGTTTTCTAATACAACATATTGCTCCCTTGTTGATGAAGGAGTAAATGTATGCATTCCTGGCATGTTCATTTGAAAAAGAGACTGTATCAAAGATGTATACAGTGATTAGTAAACTAAAAGATTCTTGCTGAAAACTAGGTAAAGGCTCAGGGTCATGAAGAGAATTCATTTATCTCTAAACTTCTGAAATAAGGGTGAAGTGAATTTACTGCAGAACAGGAAGAAAATGTATTTAATATAGTACTGAATATTCCTTAATTACTATTATTTTATTCTTCCCTACAGAAAAACACACATTTAAATAAAAGTCCTTAAAAGAATAATTTCATTTACATTTAAGTTTCACGCATCACACTATTCTAAGTGTCTGCAGCTTTAACACTATGTCACCAATCTACCACTACTTACTCTGGTATTGAAGTAATGCAGCAAAATGGTCTTCAGTAAAATACTTTAACAATCACTAAAACATTTATCTCCTTTCACAAAGCAAATCAAAAGCAATGACATACAACAAAATAAGCAAATTAAATGTTAAGAAAAGTAGTACATCTTACCGTAAATAAATTGCTAAAAATGAGGTTGCCAATAATATAAATTTCTGTCGCTTTGTTATATTCTATATAAAAAAGGACATGAGACACAAAATTATATGTGGCTTCTCTTTTATATCCTTAGTTATAGGACTTCTGTTCAGCTAGATTTCAGGTGCTTCTGAATGATAGCTGTTCTGTAGTTTAGTTGTGATTTTGATGTGATTGTAGGAGGTTTAGAGTTACCTACGTCACCATCTTTACTGGAAGCCCAGTGTGTTTGTTTGTTTTTTCTCCCCTCTTGAAAAGTCTCAGGTAACCATTTAAACAAAGCTCTTTGGATTTTCTATATTTCTTTTTTAATCTTTATTGTTAAAAGTATTACAGATGTCCTCCCCTTTTTTCCCCCACTGACACCCTCCTCCCCACTCCTGTGCAACAAGACCCCCTCCCTTCCACCCCCCACCTTCTCCACACTGTTATCTCACTGTTGTTTGTGTCCATTGGTTATGCATATATGCAAATAAGTTATTTGGTTTATCTCTTCCCGCTACCCCTTCTCCCTTCCCTCTGAGTTTCGGCAGTCTGTTCCCTGCTTCTATGTCTCTGGATCTATTCTGTTTGTCAGTGTATTTTGTTCATTAGATTCTACATGTAAGTGAGATCATGTGATACTTGTCTTAGTCTGTGACTGGCTTATTTCACTTAGCATAATACTCTCTAGGTCCCTCCATGCTGTCTCAAAGGGTAAAAGATCCTTCTTTTTTTATAGCTATATAGTATTCCATTGGGTAAAGCTACCACAGCTTTTTTTATCCACTCATATACTGATGGGCACTTGGGTTGTTTCCAGATCTTAGCTATTGTAAATAGCACTGCTATGAACATAGGAGTGCACATATGCTTTCTGATTGGTGTTTGGAGATTCTTAGGATATATTCTTAGAAGTGGGATCACTGGGTCAAACAGCAGTTCAATTTTTAATTTTTTGAGGAAACTCCACACTGTTTTGCACAGTAATTGCACCAGTCAACATTCCCACCAGTAGTGTACTAGGGTTCCCTTTTATCCTCATCTTTGCCAGCAGTTGTTTTTGATTTGTTGATGGTAACCCTTCTGGCAGGTGTGAGGTAATACTTCATAGTCATTTTAATTTGCATTTCTCTGATGATTAGTGATGTTGAGTATTTTTTCATATCTCTTGGCCATTTGTGTGTCCTCTTTGGAGAAGCATCTATTCAGGTCCTCTGCCTGTTTTTAATTGGACTGCTTATCTTCCTTTTGTTGAGTTGTATTGAGTATTTTATATATTTTGGAAATTAATCCCTTCTCAGAAGTATCATTGGCAAATATGTTTTCCCATACAGTGGGTTCCCTTTTCATTTTGATGCTGGTTTCTTTTGCGGTGAAGAAGCTTTTTAGTTTGGTATAGTCTCATTTATTTTTTCCTTTGTTTCTCTTGCCCTAGGCTATGTATCGGTGAAAATTCTGTTATGTGAGATGTCTGAGATTTTGCTGAATATGGTTTCTTCTAAGATTTTTATGGTTTCACAACTTACATTTAAGTCTTTTATCCATTTTAAGTTTATCCTTGTGAATGGTTGTTGGTCTAGTTTTATTTTTTTTTCATGTTAGCGTGAAATTCGTAAAATCCATCAAGACACTTGTTTAACCTGTATCCCTAGTAGATAGAAAGCAAAAAGGTAAACTTTGAAAAAATTATTCTAGCCAAATACAGAAACCACAGGATAAAACCCAATAGCTCCTCACTTTTCCTCTGCAGTCACCTCTGTCCACACCACCCTCAGTGGGCAGCCTCCCTCTCATCTCCTCCCTTATTCCTCTTGTCCTCATGGACCCACCATCTTTCCACCAATTCCAGCCCAAACCATGAGCTTCTGGCTCAGGTTGTCCATTAGTTCCACCTGTGTTAAGGCCATGGCACTGGAGGAGATGAGCTGGTCTGATGAGCTGGGGGGATGGTGGAGGTAGAGTGTCACATACAGGAAAATGGGCCCTCTTGGACTATTTCACAGTGACATTTCTAAAAGACATGCCTTTCTTGATGAGGTGGTTTGCTTCTAAAACTGCCACAACAGTCCCTCCCATCCACATCAAGAGATGGGGTCCACATCCTTCTGCTGAGTCCTGCTAGGTCCTGTGACTTGTTTAGCCAACACAATGCAGAACTGACATTGAATAACTCCTATGCCTTGGCAATAAAGGCCTCTTGGAACCCAGCTGCCATGATGTTAAGAAGCAGTCTGGCCTACAAAAAAAAGAAGGGGTTCCATGGAGAGCGGAGAGACTCCTGCTGATGGCCAATACACCCTGCTTCCCACATGAGAGAGGCCATCTTTTCCCTCCCAAGATGGGCTCCCATCGGACTGCACCAGGCAATAATGTGCAGCAAAATCACCCACCTGAGCCCATCCCAGAAGGCAGATTCATGAGCTAATAAATGGTTGACTTAAAATGTTGTTTTAAGTCACTAAGTTTTACGGGTGGGAGATTGTTAGTTACACTGGACCGGTAACAACACATGCTAAAGCTGGCTGCTTTTTCTAGCAAGACTCAGGTGTGTTAGATTAAAAGAGTCTGTCCCTTTTCTTCATTTTACCAGGGCACTCCATCTTAGTATCCTGGCTTAGTACGAGCTGAGGCCCCAGTAAGCGGCAAACATAAGTGTCCTATCTCAGCAAGTGGGACAAGGATGCAACCTAGCAGCTATACCTGGAAGTGCCTAGTGAACTCCATTCAGCATGAATCTAAGTGCTATAGAAACACAAACTCCAAGAAACTTACATTCCAGATGAGGAGGTAAGACTCATGAACGTAAAACAATGGCAGATAATTCACAATCACAGAAGCACGTAAAATGACACTGAATGCTGTATGAGTTCACAGAACAAGGCTGCAGCAGTCAAGGAAGGACTGAAGATGGACATAGGGCTTGAACTAGACCTGGAGGATGGGAAGGACTGACTGATGTGGGAGAGAATGTTTTAGGTGTGTGTATGGAGATACCCTTGGAGGTGGTATAAAGATCTAAGTGAACTTGCTGAGAAGAGGGGCAGTGGTAATGCTGAGAGAAGGAAGCCTGGCCAGAAGGAAGAGAGGCCTCACAGCCATCTCTCACTCAGTGCTGCCCATAAGGTTGATTGGAATGTTTGGATGACATTCAAGAGTTGACATCAGCAAAGACTTCTTGGCATCCCATCATGTAAAGTTCTGAGGAAAGATGGTAAGTCCAGGAATGAGCCTGTCATCAAAGCAGGACCCACTTGGAGAAAAAAGCAAGGCTGGGCCAAGTTACAGAGGGCTTGGCTGACTATTGCACTGTTTGCATTTATGGACAAATTATGTCAGGCTCAGCCCTGACTATTTCATCAATCAAGCTACTGCCTGAATCATGGTCCCATGTTTGGCACAAAGACAATCTTCACCTGCCCTGGCCAGCATCCCAAACATTCACAGAGCCAAGATCTGCCCTGGGGAACATCAGTGTCATAACGTCTCTCTCTGCCAAATCCACCACACCTTTCCAGGCTTCCTACTCCCCTCCCTTTGGGGGTTGCCACCCTCCCTGCCAGGTTTCTCTGTGTAGCTTCAGCCATGCCAGGGCACTGACCTCACTAGGAGGATACTCCCACTCCATCCCACAAAAATGACAGTTCCACCCACCAACTGCCTTAACATGGGAGGAGCTATTTAGGACTGCACCTACTCTATGGGAAGCTAAACAGTCAGTATCCTTACTTCCAATTTCCAGGTGGAGAAAATGAGTCATGGAAGTGACATACCAAGGCATTCAAAACACTTCAGTGACTCAGTGAGATCCAAATCCCACAGAGTCCAACCCACAGCTTTTTGACCTCAGGCACCTCACTCTGCTCTGCACTGTATTGCTGACATGGGGCCTGGCTGGTACCTGAACTTTTGCCTAAAGCTCTGCTGTGGTTCTGAGATTCAGCCTCTCAGACCCTGTTATGTTGCCACCATTAAAGCTAATATCCCAACATGGACTTGCAAATCAAGGAATTCTGGCTGAGGATAATTTGGATGGTTCTATATACCTATGATGAGATAAAGCCATCAAATGTGTCTCTGTGTATGTCCATCCATCAATGCCAGTGCATTCCCTCTGCTGTGATAGGTAAAAATCCCCAAATGAAAAATAGACAAGTAAAGACCATAAATAGAAATGCAGACCTAATCTCTAAGGGAATATGCATACCAGAAACAGATGGCCAGCTAGGGCATGTGCATGTTCTTTTTGACCCTTGGACACATATTCTAATGAACTCTATTTGGCTCTTAGCTGTTTTTGTACAGTGTCCAGGGAAGCCTCACAAGTTAACTTCTTTTTTCCAGAGGGAAAAGGACTAAGGTTATTAAGCACCTTATGCTGGGAGAAGCACTATAGTTTTACATATATTATAAATTTCACCACAGTGAGATCCTGTCCAACTACAGAAGGGGACTTTGAGGCTACTTTGGCAAGGTCACACAGAGAGCTGCAGCCTCCCTCACACCTGCCTTGCATCCACCTCACACCAGTTCACAGCTGGTGGACTCTGCAGGGTTCTGGGCTGGCCCAGGATCTTTCTGGTGCTCCATCCAATACTCCAGTCCTGGGCTCCAGCAAGCCCTTGCCCCATACCTCAATCACTTCATTCCCTCGGCCTCGGGTACCCACAAGACCACTGGGCAGATTGCCCCCATCTTTCAAAGCTCACACCTCCTCTGTCTTGATGCTCATAAACCCCACTGACAAACCCTTATAAAGACCCCTCTAGCGTATTCCAAAATGGCTGCAGAGTGAATGGAAGCTACACAGACCATCTCCCAGGACCAAACTGGAATTACAACTAAAATAAAGACAAATCGTTGGGAAAAAGCAACAGAAAAGCAGCTTGTGAGAACCATAAAACCAGGGGCACTGAATCAATCCTGTTAGGATTGCGGAGGCCCGAGAAAGGGCTGGGAATCCACAGAGAGCAGCAGTCTTAGCTGTGAGCAGCACCCTTGGGGTTAAACTCCCAAGCTTGCTCCATAGTGCAGAGAGCCGGGACAGAGCGTTAAAATAGCCACAGCCTATTACAAAAGCACATAGTAATTAAAATGCCAAAAATTAAAGACAGAGAGAATCCTAAAGGCAGCAAGAGATAAACAACAGGTTACCTACAAAGGAACTCCCATAAGGCTATCAGCTAACTTCTCAAAAGAAACACTACAGGCCAGAAGAGAATGGCATGAAGTAATCAAGGTCATGAAAAACAAAGACCTGAATCCAAGACTACTCTATCCAGCAAGGCTATCATTCAACATAGAAGGTCAAATAAAGAGCTTCCCAGACAAAAAAAAAAAAAAAAAAGCTAAAGAAATACATTAGCACCAAACCAGCACTCCAAGAAATGTTAAAAGGGCCCTAGCCGGTTTGGCTCAGCGGTTAGAGCGTCCACCTGCAGTCCGGAGAGACCCGGGTTCGGTTCCCACTAAGGGCATGTACCTTGGTTGCAGTTTGTCCCCGGCCCTGGTTGGTCGTGCGGGTAGCAGCCACTCGATGTGTCCCTTTCGCGTCGATGTTTCCCTCTCTCTCTCTCTCTTCCTATCTCTCCCTCCCACTCTATCTGTACAAAAAATGGAAAAACGTCCTCGGGTAAGGAAAAAAATAAATAAATAAATAAATAAAATAAAAAAGAAATGTTAAAAGAACTGCTGTAATTAGTAGAAAAAACAGGAAGATAAATATAAGCACACTAAACAAAAATGGCAATAAATAAGTACATATCAATAATCACCTTAAATGTAAATGGACTGAATGCTCTGATAAAAAGACACAGAGTAGCTGATTGGATAAAAAAGCATGACTCATATATAAGTTGTTTACAAGAGACCCACTTCACAACAAAAGACTCATATAGGCTGAAAGTGAAAGGATGGAAAAAATCTTCCAAGCAAACAGAAAGGAAAAAAAAGCTGGGGTAGCAATACTCATCTCTGATAAAATAGATTTCAAAATGAAGGCCATAACTAGAGACAAAGAAGGCCACTACATAACATTGAAAGAATCTATCCAACAGGAACATATAACCTTGGTAAACATATATGTACCAAATATAGGAGCACCAAAATATATTAAAAATCTTCTGGAGGATTTCAAAGGAGAAATCAACAGCAATACAATCATAGCAGGGGACTTCAACACCTCGGTGACATCACTGGATAGATCCTCTAGACAAAAAATTAGCAAGAAAACAGAGACTCTGAAGCGCTAGATCAAATGGATTTAATAGATATCTACAGAGAATTATACCCCAAAACTACAGAATTCACATTCTTTTCAAGTGCACATGGGACATTCTCAAAGACAGACCACATGGTAGGGTACAAACTAAGTCTCTACAAGTTCAAGAAGATTGAAGTCATATCAAGCATCTTCTCAGATCACACTGGCATGCAACTAGAAATTAATTGCAACAAGAATATGCAAAGACATTTGAACACATGAAGGCTAAATAGCATGTTATTAAACAATGAATGGGTTACCGAGGAGATCAAGTAAGAAATTAAAAACTTCCTGGAAACCAATGAAAATGAACACACAACAACATAAAACCTATGGAATGCAGCAAAAGCAGTTCTGAGAGGGAAGTTCATAGCACTACAGGCCTACCTCAAGAAACAAGAAAAAATTTTAATAGACTGTATAACCTCACAACTTAAAGAATTAAAAATCAAACAAAAAGAAAACCCCAGAGCAAGTAGAAGGAAGAAAATAGTAAAGATCAGAGCCAAAATAAATGACATAGAGACAAAAAAAAAAAAATTGAAGGATCAATAAAACAAAGAGCTGGTTTTTTGAAAAGATAAACAAGATTGATGGACCCTTAGCTAAACTCACCAAGAAACAAAGAGAAAGAGCCAAATACACAAAATCAGAAATGAAAGAGGAGAAGTAACAACTGACACCACAGAAATACAAAGGATCATTAACAAATACTATAAACAAATATATGGCAACAATTTCAACAATCTAAGTGAAATGAATAAATTTCTAGAAACACACAGTCTCCGTAAACTGGACCAGGAAGAGACAGAAAGCTTGAACAAACCAGTAACAACTAAGGAAACTGAAGGGGTAATCAAGTCTCTCCCAGCAAACAAAAGCCCAGGCCCGGATGGCTTCATGGGGTTGTTTTACCAAACATTCAAAGAAGAACTAACACCCATTCTCCTCAAACTATTTCAAAAAATTCAAAAAGGAAAAAGACTTCCAAACTCGTTTTATGAGGCCAGCATAATTCTAATTCCAAAACCAGATGAAGACACTATAAAGAAAGAAAACTACAGGCCAATATCCCTGATGAACATAGATGCCAAAATCCTGAACAAAATACTAGCAAATCAAATCCAGCAATACATGAAAAAAATTATTCACCATGACCGAGTGGGATTTATCCCAGGGATGCAAGGCTGGTACAATATTCACAAATCAATAAATGTAATACAGCACATAAACAAAATGAAAGATAAAAATCCTATAATCATATCAATAGGTGCTGAAAAAGCATTCGACAAAATCCAGCACCCATATTTGATAAAAACGCTCAGCAATCTGGGAATAGAGGAATCATATCTCGACATATATGAAAGACTTACAGCCAACATCATACTCAGTGTGCAAAAACTAAAAGCATTTTCCTTAAAAGCAGGAACAAGACAGGGATGCCCACTTTTGCCATTCTCATTTAACACAGTACTGGAAGTCTTAGCCATAGCAATCAGACATGAAAAAAATAAAATAAAAGGAATCCAAATTGTAAAAGAGGAAGTAAAACTGTCATT